CATGTCGGAGTTGGGTCTTTCTCCCGACATCATTGCTACCGAGTCTTGGTTTCGTGGGCGTTATTTGGGTGAAGTGCGAGCATTAAAACACTAGAGACACGGATTAACGCAATATATTTCGGAATCTACACTTATCACATAGCAAATCAACAAGCAAGACCGAGCAGTGAGTTCAAAGCACCAATCTTTAGACACTACCAACAAACAAACGATCCAACTCGATCCGTTTCTATTTCAAAAAAGGTCCCATAAACACTATCGAACTGCCTTATAAAGATGGCGCCTAGACCTCACTCAAGCCAAGTGCTCTGCTCTGATTGGTCTTTACTTAATTTGAGATTACAATGTTATTTAGTCCAAGAAAAACGTAACTAGTAAAGTAAAATCGAATTAAAAGTTATTAGGAGCTTTTACAATTTCAATAAACATTAAATATTGCACACAATTCGTAAACAGTAATTCATTAGACAATGGCTACTTAACAACTTCCTATTTTGACTATAATCACAAATTTGTTATCAAAAATATGCTTTAGGCATTATAACAAAATAGAAGTTCGTAATTAAATTAACTTAAGATTTACAAAAGGTGTTTACATGATAAAGAGAACGTTAAGCGTTATAATACAATCAACAAGCAACTCCTTCAATGATTTCCTCCGACATATACATAAATTTACGAAGTTGACTGTACCTTGGAAGACCAAAGACACTGTGTATTCTCGTAGAGAGGTGAACTGTAAGACCATTCAAAACTTTTTACACAAAAGTCACAGATAATAATGATTTAAACATCATCATGATTACGATGTGATTATTATTTAATCTCGCAGCCGGAATGTGACATGCGCGTGAGCATTTAGGTCATTAACACGACCAACGACAAAGTGATCAGGGTGAAGGGCGGCGGGTTCGATTCCCGTGCCGACATTACTAGTAATACATCATCCGTGACATCTTTTAATTATGTACCGTTATACCGCGCACAACTTTGACTAAACTATCGCACAACTGTGATTGTTTGTTTCGCAATTCAACTGTTTAGTTTCACAACCAAAAATCGAGTAGTGTACCTCAATATAATCTCATAGAAATCAAAGCAACTTAAGTTGTGCGATAATTTGGTCAATGTATGCGTGTTATAAGTCTTGTAGTGTAGGTATACAATACAAATATTGTTTAATATCCCAATTATAAAATCGTCTTATAATGCAATGCAAAATTTATAGCGGCCCGGAATATCAATCGAAACGCTGCACTAAACATACCATAGATAATGGACGTAAATGGTTGCAGGTACGGGCCATCCTGCACGCTTTTACTCACACAGCCAACTTTAAATCCACTCGTAACTTTTACATAATTATTTAACACATATAACGAAGCTATAATCGACAAGCAGTGTCGATATTAGTCCTAAAAACGGCCTGGTCTAAATTTCTGCAGTCCCTTTTTTAGGAGCAGTAATGGCAATGCTCGTTTAGTTCAGGTCGGGTTAATGACGTCACCTAGACGGGTCGAGCGCAACTGACCGTTCCGTTTCAGGCTTGGTGCGTGTGCAGGGGCGTTAGTGGGATACGTCTCCTTTCCTCCATAAGTGGGAGCTGCCCCAACGCCGTTTCGTCGCGGACGAAAACGAAAGCGTGCCTGTGTCCCCGCCACTATGCGTTGAGAGGAACAGCGGGGTTTAGTGGGTAGGCCCCATTATGGGGAGAATCCCACATAACTACTGCGTCCCCCCCGAACGCGGAGTATGCATAAAGCATTCCCCTCTGAAAAAAAACAGGCCTGGTGCCTGTGCATACACAACATATTTTGATTGGGTGGTGAATGGACATGGTTATAGGCGACCTAGTATATTCTCGCCCCTTTCCGTTCACCGCCCTGGACTTCTGTTTTTATAAAGGTTTAAAATATTTTCTGATAGAACCAATCAGCAGCACCTTTCACCAGGATGGACATCCTTGTTTACTATCTCTGTTTATCAAACATATTGCAAAAAATATTATGTGATAGTTAGATTCTGTATATTGTTGTATCCGCTATGGTAACCTTCAAAATTAGCACCTCCCCCCCTCACCTTGTAAATCAAAGTGCGTGAACTTGATTGTTCTTGTTACATTTTTTGCATAACTACGTTGTTGTGCGTTATGTTATGTATTTTTATAATATACTATTATAATAAGGCGTAAACACACACTTCTTTGTTGACTAAGATGTCAGCAATCACAGCATGTTTTCGAATAACTTTTTTTTAGCTTTTGGCTATATATTTTCACGCCGTTAAACTTAGGTGTAAATATTTTCGATAAAAACTCTGATGTGGGAAATAGACCATAAGTTGTTGCCAACATCAAGGAATCAAGACTGTCAAGGTTTGTCATGTCATGTCATTTTGACATTTGCTATTGATAATTTGACAAATGTAAACAATAAAATAAAATTTTAATTACATGCGGATGAACCCGCACGGGACCAACTAGTTTTTGATAAATCAATGGAGGTTCTAGTCTCAATCGAGTTCTGTTCTTCCCAGTAATGAGGAATCATGAGGAAATAGAAATTATTACAATATTATTACAGTAAAAGACATTTAAAGAGAAATAGTGTAACAACCGAATGTCATGACCCAAATAAATATATAAGATAAGAAATAAAACTTTTTACATAACCTTACAGGTACCATGAAGGTCTGATAATTAAGACCTAACTCATTAGTTGTAGATTTTGTCTAATTGTCACAAAAACTCTAAAAATTGTAGATTCGTAAAGCTTGTAGTTCCGGATGGGTGGGCAGGATGGAATAAAAACACGTGTACAATTCTAATAACCCTGAAGTTACTGAAGTGTGTAATTTTATTGATGAATAATGGAGGCGGAAATATTTTTATTATATTTTTGAACATGTTATCTGTCGACGATCACAAAATTAAAAAAACATTTTTTTATTTTGTATTTTTTTGTGTAATGTACACCAAGTGTATAAAAAAATTACAGTATGTGTAACATTATTAGAATTGTAGACGTAATTAATGAAAAATATTAATTAAAAAAAGATGGTAAGATATACAATAATTAAAATCTCAAAAATTAAGTAAAAACTCCCTTTATAGATGTTGAAAAGTATTAACAGCGTGCGCACATCTGAATCTAAACTATGGCACAACTGTTTAGTCCCGCTTTGATTCCTATACGGAGCGCACTACTCGATTTTAAGTTATGCAACTAAACAGTTGAATTGGCTGCGAAACAATCGACAATCACACAATTGTGCGATAAATTGGTCTAAGGTTTGCGCCCGCTTTAAACACAAGAAATAATGGTTGATGTCAAAATTAAAAACATTTTTTGAACTACTAGTTCACTCACCCTGAAGAAGGACCCCCAACGGGTTCGAAACTGTCGGTACAACACCGAATGTTATAACATGAGTTTAGCCGTAATAATTATATACTAGTTAATAGTTAAAATTAATATTTAGTTAATGTATTATTAATTTCAAACCACGCTGTAATATTATTAAGAACAGTGAATCTAGTTCTTTGAACTGAAAAGGCTTTTGTTTTGATCGAATGTCAAATTAACTTTCCCAACCTTGGTTTGTGGGACTTATCTTAATATGTCTATTAAAAATTTAATTTATCTTAATAAAGAGTCTTTACAATTGGTGATAATAGCCAGGAATGACCTTTGTACAAGGTTTTAGTGTAAATTCAATAATAGTTAACCACGTTTCTCATTAAAACTAAAGACTTGGTAATGGCTGAATCCATTAATCGATCTCAATTATAAGTACACTTCAATTCTAATCCATTTTCTTCAAATACATTGATCTAAGGATCGTATTGGTAATCTAATAAGAGTGGGTGCACAATCTTATCTTACTAATATTATAAATGCGAAAGTTACGATGGATGGATGTTTGTTAGCGTTTGTAGCCTAAACATGAAATGTTCCTCCATGAAATTTGGCACAGGTTTAGAGCATAGTCTGGAAGAACACATAGGCTACTTTTTATACCGGGATAAGTTACGGTTCCCGTGAGATTCATTAATTTAGTTTTTTAATGTTTACTCGATTATTCTGCAACGGTTCAACATATCTTATTGAAATTTGGCACAGAAGTAAAACAAAGTCTGGAGTATACATGGGATAAGCTTCATCCCCGAGGTGTCCGGCTCCCGAGGGATACGTAGCTTTTTGTTATTAATGTAGTTCGTATGTTTTCTAATACCACGCGGACGAAGTCGCGGGTAACAGCTCGTTTTGGCTAAACTATAGCACAAATGTTGTGCGATAGTCGATTGTTTCGCAGCCCATTCAACTGTTTAGTTGCACAACTAAAAATCGAGTAATGTCACCTCTACATAAGCTCATAGGAATCAATGTGCGACTAAACAGTTGTGCGAGAGTTTATTTTCAGGTGTACATTACGGTGCTCGCTCTAACAATCTATGTTATGTTGGTACAAGTTTTCATTTTAATAGATCTATAAATGGATTTTTTCGCATAAAATCAATAAAACCTACTAATTTTTAACATTTTATTTGTAAACTTTGAAGACGTAAGGCGTGATTTAATTCTAACTGTATGTAGTTAAATTAAATTTCATGGTCAATACATGTTCGGCATACGTAAACAAAATTCTTGAACTAGCCCGCGAACTATGTGTACTTGAAGCATGGACAGTGGACCACAGAGCTATAGAATACAGAAGTAAATGATCAGAATCAGAAATAACCTTTAAGTATTCCCATACGATCCTCCCGTGGTTTAGTTTTTATATGGTTTCAACACTTTTTAATTTACGTTTAAAACTATTGTAAGTTTTAGGTTCAAATAATTGACGATTGGCAGTGAATAAAGAGTGGTAAAATTTTAGGAAATTATTAAACGAATATTACAGGATTGGAGGTCAAATAAAAATGGTCTATTTAGCGGTTGATTACGTCAAGTTATGTTCAATGATATAAGTTAGGCAGTTACTTAAGCTGACGGTTGGCGCGAAGTCGGCCAGTCGGGTAGGCGCGGCGGACGCTGCGTTTGCTTAGGTTATCAAGTAAATTTATGTGATCTATTAGTTACTTGTGTTATTCACGGTTTTAATTTTGGATAGTGTTGTGATTTTTTTTAATTCTGAGTGTACTGAAAACCTTGATAAAAGGAAATCGGTAAGTTTAAAATGCTTTTTTAATGTAATGGAATTATTAATTAATAATAATCATTAATTAAAAAGTTAAGAAACCATAGACAATTGAATGTACATCTTTGACACTGGAAAAAATACGAATTGGATAACATCTCTATATTGTGACAGCTGTCACTAAACTAGGACATAATAATGATTCGCATATTACATCACGTAAAGCCGCCAAAAATTTTATCCCAAAAATAAGCAATAAAAAAGATGTATAAAAAGTTAAAAATTGCATCACAAATACTAAATTAATAAACTAGCAACAATTATTAAATAACTAGCTGTTGCTCGCGACTTTGCCCGCATGAAATTAAAAAAAAATAATAAGAAGTATACCCTATGTAAGAAAGAAATATCTTTCTTTCTTCCTTCTTTCTTTCTTTCTATAACCGTTACACGTTGCTTTTTAATGGTAAAATAAATTTGAAATCCGCCCAGTACTTTTTATTTCTACACATACAAACATACAAATCTTTCCTCTTTGTAACAGTAGTATAGATAATAAAGTAAACATAAAATTATTGAACTAATTTTAAGAAAACTATCAAGTAAAATATTAAATTTATGTTATGATTCATGTTAAAGCAAACCATATTAAGTTGCTATATTTCACATAATTTAACCGCACTTGAACTCAAATTGTCGCAATTGTTAAAATTAACCAAATAATTGGAATAAATTAAAACAAGTTAACCAATTCGTTTAATAAACATTTTTTTCATAATCTTCAAAATTAATTGTCAAAAACAAATATAATTTCGTTTAAAAAATAAAGAACTCTTCACACTGCCATTTAAATTGACTATACTGAAATTATCTTCGAAAACATTTCGCAAAACATAATATATACGTTTTGTATTTCTATGTTTACGAATTACTTTTATATCATTGGCATTATAACGATATGAACAGTCAAACTGTTCAGTTAAAGTGCAAAATAACAATAGATACAGTTTTATTGACAGTTAAAATACGGTACTTATAAAGTACTAACTACTTCGTCTTCCTAATAATATTATGTCAAACTCCTACTAAACTCAGGGGATATCTTTCGACAACATCAATATTTACCATATGTGGGTTTATTCTTTACTAGCTGTTCCTATGCGACTTCATCCGCACAAAACTATAAAAACTTAATTTGTGATATATTTCATATGTCAAATTATCAATTGCAAATGTCAAAATGACATGACATGATGACAACCTTGCTTCCTTGATGTTGGCAGCAACTTATGGTCTCTTTCCCACATTAGGGTTTTTATCCAAAATGTTTACCCCTTAGTTTAACGGCGTGTAAATTTATAGTCTAAAGCGTGACGTAAGTGTAGGGCTTTTTATTAAAAAAAGAGTTATTCGAACATAAGCTGTGATTGCTGACATCTTAGGCAACAGAGAAATGTGTGTTTACGCTTTATTATATTCGAATAGAAGTATAAAAAAGATAATTGTAAATGCGGTCAGTGTGAAAGGGCCTTAAACTTTAAGAAAATTTGGTATTGATAGCGGGCGCATAACTTTGACCAAACTAAGCCACAACTGTTGTGCGATTGTCGATTGTTTCGAAGCCAATTCAACTGTTACACAACTAAAAATCGAGTAGTGTGCGCACGTCCATACAAACAAAAAGTTGTGCGATAATTTAGTCTAAGGTGTGCGCGCGCTCTTATTGTAATATAGATTACGAGCTGTTGCCCGCGACTTCGTCCGCGTGGTATTAGAAAACATACGAACTATATAAATAACAAAAAGCTACGTATCCCTCGGGAACCGGACATTTCTCGGGGATGAAGCTTATCCCATGTATACTCCAGACTTTGTTTTACATCTGTGCCAAATTTCAATAAGATATGTTGAACCGTTGCAGAATGATCGTGTAAACATTAAAAAACTAAATTAATGAATCCCACGGGAACCGTAACTTATCCCGGGATAAAAAGTAGCCTATGTGTTCTTCTAGACTATGCTCTAAACCTGTGCCATTTCATGGAGATCCGTTAAGCCGTTTAGGCTACAAACGCTAACAAACATCCATCCATCGTAACTTTCGCATTTATAATATAATATTTAATATTCGTATGAAGTAACAAACAGATTTAAATAGTAACTATACTAAACTGATCGGTCAGTGTCCAAATTATCAATTGATTTTGTTACAAGAGTAGCGTGTGCAGAAAAAAACCGAAAGAGAAGAAAGCCGAATAACAAGTACCTTGAAATCATAATATTTTGCGACGTTAACTAATTTCCGCATAGATAAATTATATTCTAAAATCCTTGAAACGAGGTTACATAACGATATGGTAATTATTTTTTCGAAAAAATAAAAAAAAATAATGAACTCAAAATCAGATTAATTTATGATTTGTATTAGATAAAATTACAGACTTTATTTTTAATTGTTGTTAGTTTTCAAGGCTAAACTCTCTAATAAAACAATGAATAAAACTATTTAGTAGCATTCTCACGTTTTATATATAATCCCAAAACACAATTCTCATCACATTTCTATTTCAAATAGAAAAATGGTGAGTAAGCATAACCTAACTTGCATTTTAACCCAAGTACCAACAAGAAGACAAGCGGTAAACAGGGTCATACTTAGGGAGCTTCTTGAAAAAATGCCAGCAGCGCAACTGTGGTAGTTCAACAGTGGTAGTGCCCGCTTTAACATCTTAGCACGAATGGGCCGGCACGCCCGGTGTAATATCACCACCACACAGAAGACAGGCGTGAAATGGAAGCAATTCCGTGTTTCGTCTGATGAGTGTGGTGCTGGAGGCCTTAATTTAAGTCCCTTTCTCTTTACCACCCTTTTCTTATAAGAGGATGGGAAGGGGAAGTGGATTTGACGATGGAGGAGATGCATAGGAAGAGGAAATATCCTCCTTATGTGCGTCTCCTCCTCCGTCGGATAAGGGTAGGCGACGCATCTGCAATTGCAGATGTCTATGGGCAGCGGTCACTTCGCCATTTTGGCGGATTCAGGTGGCCGCTTGCTCGTTTGCCATGTTATGTTAAAAAAAAAATTGTATCTAAAGTATCTAAATTTTGTCTCTTTCTGACCTTTATGCTTTCTCATTGTGATACTTTAGTCACCAAAAGGTTATAGTACCTTTGGTATGACAAAAAGTATTTCCGCACGTTTGATTTCCTAAAAAAATCAATTGACACTTTTACGAAACGAAAATGGGAAATAAGAAAATGTAATTGATTTGAATACATGATGGAAATAAAGGTTTTTTATTCCTATTGAATCTGTAAGGATTGAATCCGTTCAGTGATCGTTAGAGCTTGCAATGAAGGCTTCGGATTCAAGGAAATGCATTGTGCTGTAATTCACGGGTGCGTGACAACGATTCTAAAATTAATGGATGCGGTAATTTATTAAAAAGATCAAAAAGATCTCGTAAATACTTCCGTTTCTCCTTTGCTTATCTTAGTCACGGTTCAGTCACGTAGTTATTTTGTAGAAAATTTTAGGAATTATTCACTATTAATAGAAGTTTTTTTTTTAATAACCAATTAACGTTTGCAATCTGACCGGATTTAGTATCTTATAATGCACAAAGTAATTATTAAATTAAAAAATCAACGAACTAAACTTTCGCACTATTTGATAATAATAAATTTCATACAAACAAAAACTTTGGTGCATTGCTCTGATCATTAGTATCCACTTCCTATTATAATAAAATATTTAATTAGGTCTATGTCTTAGTTTGAAATGATATAACATTTATTATGGCATGTTTAAGTTTATTAAAATTTTAATTAAATAATTTGTTAATAAAATGTTGGCCACTCCACATTTTCTCACATCCGTGGTGACCGAGAAGCGAACAATTGCTTCGTGATCGCTGCGCATCGGGGTCACTGCCACCGCGCCGCGACAAAATTATATTTGCATTCCAAAAAATTGTTATTATCCCTTATTCCTTTAAAATAAAGTCCAATTTCGATCGACATTCAATTCTATATAATTTTGTAATTTCACACAATTACTTTTGCAGCAATTACAAGCAATTTTAAATCTTATTTTTTATCGCAAAGAGGTTAGAAGGACAGAAAATAACAATACATTTTGTTATTTTTTTTAACAGTAGAATGTTTACCTGTGTTTTATTGGTTAGTTTTAATAGTAGCACAGTAATTAAGTTAGGTTCAGTCAACAAAAGTGAATGCAACTTAGGTTATTTAATAGTTTGTTCACGTGTATTGTTTACAATTACTAAAGGCTGATATAACCTAGTTAGTAAGATAAAACGCGATAGATCCTAGGATATACATAGTTGCGTGGGTTTTTTATATAAGATTGTAGCACGAATTAACGGTCGATTCTCAACATTTATGATTAACGATTCATAAATAAATCACCCTACTATTGACAGAGAGTTTAGAATTTCTTCGAGATCTTAAAATTAGTAAAAACAACGAATTCATATGACTATTTAAAACAACTTCTCATTATATAAGCTTAATTAAAAGTAATAACAATAAGTAACAATAACAATAAGTAACAATAACAATAAGTAACAATAACAGTGGTTGAGAAAATAAGGAGTAAAAGGTTAGAGTGATATGGGCATGTTATGAGAAGGGATGAATCGCATGTAACAAGAAGGATGTTAGTTATGTATGTGGAAGGGTACATCGGTAGAGGAAGATCTAGAAAGAGATGGATTGCGTGAAAGGTGACATGATCAAGAAGGGAGTGATGACTGAGATGACGGATGATAGAATGCTTTGGAGGACGAAAACCCGGTGCGCCGACCCTACGGGAGTAGGATAAGGCAGGGGAGATGATGATGATGAACAATGCGTATGCCATACTGGCTTTTTTTATAATATAAGGAGGCAAACGAGCGAGCGGCCACCTGAGTCCACCGATATGGAAAGCGACCGCCGCCTAAACATCCGCAATTGCAGATGTGTTGCCTAACCTTGATTGACGGAGGAGGAGTCGCACATAAAGAGGACGTTTCCCCTTCCTATGCGTCTCCTCCACCGACAAATCCCCTTGTCGTTCCCATCCTTTCCACTTAAGGGTGGAAAGGGAAAGGGACTAAAATTAGGCCTCCGGCACCACACTCATCAGAAGAAACGCGGAATTGCTTCCACTTCACGCCTGTTTTCTGTGTGGTCGTGGTATTACACCGGGCGAGCCGTCACATTCGTGCGAAGATGTTAAAGCGGGCTCTAGAAATAATGCTATTGTATCCGTAAACAATGTTCTTTACGTTGCATGTTTACTACTAGCTGTTGCCCTCGACTTCGTCCACACAATACTCTTCATAGGTTATATTAATTACAATTTTTATTTCTGCGCGGACGAAGACGCGTGCAACAGTTAGTTATAACATAAATCAGTATAAAGTCACGATTGTGGCCGGATCCTTGCAGCAGAGACAAAGACTACATAACAAATAGTTGTAAAGTTTGCGCAAGAGGCCTTGACGTTACATCTAGTTACATTAGGGTGACCACAAATCAGTAATAAATAGGACTAAGTGAGAGGACACTTAAATGCTATACGAAGAAAGAGTGTTTATGCTGATTTAAACTGAGGGTCTCCCTTAGTTGACCAAATACAGTAGTAAAAGATAGAGCTATTTATTTTGATTTAATATCACCTAAAGAGGATTACAAGTTACAACTATATGTGACAATTAACTTATTAAAACTTTCGTGAGACATTATACTATATAAATTATAACACGGCTAAACTCACGTGATAACATTCGGTGTAGGCATCACGTGAGTTTAGCCGTGTTATAATTTATATAGTATATGTGACAAAGTGTAAAAGTTTAATTCGAAGGGAACTAAAATTTTGGATTACCCTGATCTTGCTGCAAAGTATTGTGCTCCTACTAAAGAAACAGTAATTGTGATTTATCTAGTAATTTGACCAGGTGTTCAGTTCGGACATTGGAAAATAGTTTTTTAACCGTATAGTATGTCAAATTTAATGGATTAGAATTATTTAAAGTTCACGAATGGAGTTTAGTGAAACCAGAGATTAATTGGTAACTTTGTTAGTTTATAATACGACTAGAATTAAAATCTGACAAGGAGCTAGCACGAAAATTATATGAGATTTGTTGATGTACCCCTCGATACACCGCACAAATGTCATATAAAGATGACTTTACTATAGCTCAAATTTTCGTGCTATACCCTAGACTATTTTTCTTCTTCTTTAAGTGCCATCTTCTTCCGAAGTTCGGCGATCATTCGGGCGACTTTCGTTCTTGACACCACGGCTCTGAAAAGTGAACGGGTGCTCTTTCCACCACTGGCGTAGGTTTTTGAGCCAGGACGTTCTTCTTCGACCTACATTTCGCTTTCTGTGGATCTTGGCTTGTACGATGAGCTGCAGTTCGTATTTGGCATTTCGCATAAAGACTTGACTATAAAACAAATAAAAATTCCTTTTTCTATTATAGAAAAATAAACCTATGTTAATAGGTGTTTAATAGACTTACAGCATAAATGTAGACCTTTCGTACTATAAGTACATCCTAATTGACCAATAAATATCTCTGAGTGTGACATAAACAGTAAGTAAGTGTTAGAAGACGTTATAACGTTAACGTAATTTATGGCAAAGACCTTGATTTAAGTTACAGTTTCCTACTTCTTAATAAAATCAACAAAAAACTTATAAATAAAGCGCTTTTATATTTCAACGCTCTACATCGTTTCCTAGTTTATTATTAACGAATATAAATAAAAAATTAACACTAAAAACTAGATAGAAATAGGTATTTTATCAAAGATCTAAAAATATGTAATGTCTTCTTCCTATTTCATTATTAAATATAAACATAACATGAAAAAAATGTTAAAAAAATGCGAGATGACTGACCTATGACGTAACCATCTGTTATGTTCGGATTTTAAAAACATGACAATATCAAAGTTAAAAAAAAATATTGATAATGAAGATGTGTTTGCTGGCATTTCCACGCCCCTTGATAACACCAGCCATATCGCAGAATACCACCATATTATCCCTTCAGAATATGACTCTATAAGCTTTCGCCCGCGACTCCATCCGCGTGGTATTAAAAATAAACAAGTAAGTAGACTATGTGTTCTTCCAGGCTATCCTCTACAGGGTACAAACTCACAACACACATCCATCTATCCATTTAACTTTTGCATTAATAATATTAGTAAGAAGTTCGAAGTAAGTAAGTCTATTTAAAATTCTTTATTGTCTCTTGCTTATAGTATACTCAAGAGTCACGATTTAAATGTCCGATTGCTCAACTTCGATAACGTATGTCTTTAAAGTTTATTGCAACAGTTAGTGCATTCATTTCTCGAGGTTGTATCAAGACAGTCGTTGTCATTTGTGTTTATTTTAACATGCATCATAACCTAAAATAATGACCATACAATACTAGCAGTTCCCGTGCGATTTCGTCCGCATATAATTATAAAAGTTTAATTTTATTGTTAACATTTGTCTAATTATCAATTGCAAATGTCAAAATGACATGACATAATGACAAACCATGGCAATCTTATTTTCTTGATGTTGGCAGCATGTAGCTTATCGTTTTTATTCAATTTATTTACCCCTAAGTTTAATAGCGTGAAAAGAAATAGCCTAAAGCGTGACGTAAGTGTAGGGCTTTTTATTAGAAAAGGAATAATTCAAAAATATGATGTGATTGCTGACATCTTACGCCACAAAGGAGTGTGTGTTTACATTTTATTATATTAGTATAGATGTTCTATCAAATTTGAATTAGATTATTTTAATGAACATCAAATAAATATATAGAAAAATATAGAAATATGATTTTTTTAACCGAGAAACAGTAATTTTTTATAGTTTTTGACAGGAGAGTACAACTCAATACTTTTTAATCTCTACATTCCTTTAAAGACCGTTATGGTCGCTCTGATCTAAATGTCAGTTTTCACTGTAGACTTCAACTGTCCAGTTAAAACTATGCGTGTCTTCTAAATATCAGTTAAACTGTACATTTAAACAGAACTAAGCGTATGACATAAATAATACAGAGTCTATTTCTTATCTAGTGTATCTAGGTACTTCTAGTAGTTAACAATATGCAAACCGCTTGTAATGCAACGTTTATGTAACCTATTGTTCTTTATTACTACTGTATTTAATAATGCAATAGATTATACTAGCATTAAAAATAATTTAAATTCTTCGTATAAACATTGAATAATGTTGTTATATTTAATCCTTTAAAAAGCCACTTTGACAGATGACACATAACCAATAAAGTTTTATATAATCTGTGTTATTTACTTTTAAAAACAATTAACTGCTAGATAATCTTTACTAACAATGATTAAAACATAAATTATTAAATAGTTGAATAATTTTTGCAGCCAAATTCAGGAAATAAACGCCATTCGTAACAATTTTAATTCATTTAATCAGAGGATTTAGCTAATTAACTGTACATCAGCATTTCTCGGTTGCTGAACAATGTAATGACTTAATTTATTTTACGATACGATATGATCCATTTGTCTGTTGAAACCACTTTCAATTTTATTTAAGTTTTAATAAAATTAAAATTCTTTAGTTAAGAAATAATTGATCATAGATGGCGCTGACAACAATTATAAATATATTTCCATTCATTAAAAGTTAATATTACCATTAAGTAATGTTTTATAAGGTAATTTATTGTAAAATTATCATTGTTTAATTTGCTAAAATATTGTAGATGAATATTTAATAATGATGAATATCTAACTGGCCACTAAGAAAATAAAAGACATTATTTGAATTTAAAAACAATAACTTGGATTTAGACGTGAATGAGAGTGCAAGATGTGACGCGAACAATATAACAACATTTTTATTTTATACAATTTTTAATCGTTTATGCAATTTATAATGGAACTATTAATAGTTTTTTTTTTTGTTACAGATATTCACTTAAGATTAAATAGAGCATGTACAATATCCAACGAAAAAGAAGCATTTAAAATTATACGAAAAACAAGATGGCGCCACAAGAGCGAACTCCTTGTTGCGAGCAGGAGAGTGATTCCCGCCAAAGCGCGGGCATAGACAACAACCTGTCAAACATCGATTTGAGCGGGAGTTTTATTAACAAAGCGTTCACAAACGACAGCACAGATAATACAAGTAATGTAACAAATAAAATAAGTGATATAACAAATAACAATGATAGTACAAAGAAGCCAACTGACTTTGATGATTTATTACCATACGTGGGAGAGTTCGGGTTGTATCAGAAAATGTTGTTCCTGTTAATGATACCGTTTGCGTTTTTTGTCGCATTTGTTTATTTTTCACAAATATTTATGACCATCGTTCCTGAGCAACATTGGTGCTGGGTTCCTGAGCTGGCTAACTTGACAGTTGAAGAAAGGTTAGTATATAAAATAAAAAAAACGGATTTTTGCGTTTAAGTTTGAATTTTGTGCGTTTGTATGCAACACAGAACACTAGCAAAAGTGCCTGTTCTAACACATAGATTTGACTCACTCTATCTCTTTCCTCTTGAGGTATGATTCATCTTTCAAATTGAATGATTCAATCGAAATAACAAAATGTAGGACACAGTTTCATTTTAAATCAATATCTATTAAGAAATTCCAAGTACCAATTACGTAAAACGAAGATTAAATAAATGCTAATTTTATAATACCTTTTCGTGTAAACAAGATCTATTAGATTTTGTCACGAAAGTCGTCTGATAATTTTCTAATAAGATTCTGTTCGATAAATCTCATTATCAATGCAAGTAAAATAAAAAACGTTTAAATTAAATGTAAATTAACATTTCATTCATTTATTGTAATTTATTTTAAACAATTATGGGATAATTTATTCGTTACATTTAACATTTTCAGTTTTTTCATTTAAAATTAAATTAAACACACAATAGATGGCGTTTAAACTGAATTTGAATTTTTTTGCAGCAAAACAAAAAGCGATCTGTCTCGATTATGTCAAAGTATTGTATAATGACCTTTGGTAGAGTTGAATCAAGCGTGTAATAGTTAGTTCCGAATTTTTTATTAGTTTCCGTAATATGGTAAACAGTGTGCTAGTAGAAAAAGTAATAAATAAATTATTAACTACGTATTTTAATTTTTTACTGTCTTTTCATGTTTTACGTTATAATTTTTATAATTTTATAGCGTTCTTTATTTCAAATAGGTGAGAATAAAAAAGATATGATTAGAGTTTTCGTTTATTGCCATTTTTTCCTTACTAATTAATATAATTGCGAATGTTTGGATGGATGGATGTTTGTAAGAGGTAGCATAAACGGCTGAACTGATATCGATGTAATTTTGCATAGACTACTCACTTTTGTTTTATTTTTAATTCCACGTGGAAGATGTCGTGGGCAAAAGCTAGTTAAATATTATAATTTGTTTACTGCTTATTTTGCAGTGGTAAAAGTCTCATTCATTACACGCGATTTCTGACCCCGGCGTTCGCAACTAAATTATACAATTGACCTCTATCCAAGTTCACTGTTAATATAAAAATTGCGTGTATATGCATGTTACGCACATGTTACGGTCTTTAACACGTTTATGTATACTTACAGTTATGGTTTTTATGGTTATGTCTTGGATTTTAAGAATTATTTTACAGAATATTTTTTATTTTCTAAAACACTAACAGACGATAAAATTTTATTCTTTTGTTTGTTTGTCTTTTATAATTAACTGTTATACTCTGCATATTTGTAATGTTTAGTAAATATCTTGAAATAAATGTGAAAAAAACTTTGATCGTTTTATTATCGCTTAGCATTTTTTGCTAGCCCAGGAATAAAAAAAACTTAATTTGTTGGCTGTGTTATTCTAAAGTATAACTAAGCCATATTTTATCGGGATCCCAAATCATTTTGAGATCACGTAGTAACAAAACATCCATACAATATTATCTTTCGCCCGTGACACTTTCCGCGTGGAATTTAAAAAAAAAACTAAGTAGCCTATGTGTTCTTCCAGACTATACTTTACCTCTATTGCAAATTTCATCGAGATACGTTCAGCCCTTTAGACTACAAACATCCATCCATCCATCCGTCCATCGAAACTTTCGCCTTTATAATATTAGTAAGATTATAAAGAGGAAAGTATGTATTTTTGTATCTTTTGAAATAGCTTAAAAACTACTGGGCCGATTTAAAAAAAATATTTTCCCATTAAAAAGCTACTTAATTAGTGAGCAACATAGGGTTATTGGCATGAGTAAAATAGCTTTTTATATTTTTTTAATTTCATGCGGCTGAAGTAGGGAGCATCAGCTTGTGTATGATAATTTTTCGGTAAAATACTCTCCTCCTACTGACTACTCATATTCGCGTTATAATGTGACTGAGCAGTGTAATATTAATTCTTACTTTTACTTATTCTATCAAGTATAATAAACACGCACAAACTGATCGTGTCTAATAGTAGATAGGTTAAATTCACCGAAATCACGGATCTGTTCAAAGTCCATTAGATGCAGGAAGGGCCTTCGTACCGCGTGGACCTTGGTTCACGTTTTTGTTGGCTAGACTTAAAGCGTCTTGTAGTCACGTCAACTTGACACGTATCAAAAAGTGGTTAAATTGGTTCATATCTATACTAATATAATAAAGCGTAACCACACATCTTTGTTGCCTAAGATGTCAGCAATTACAGCATATTTTTGAATAGTTATTTCTTTTAATAATAAGCCCTACACCTACGTCACGCTTTAAGCTATATATTTTCACGCTATTGAACTTGGGGGGTAATTTTTTGGAAAAAAAACCTAATGTGGGAAAGAGACCTTAAGTTGCTGCCAACATCAAGGAAGCAAGGTAATCATGGTTTGTCAAGACATGTCATTTTGACATTTGCAATTGATAATTTGACAAATGTAAACAATAAAATAATTTTTTTATAATTACGTGCAGATGAAGTCGCACGGGAACAGCTAGTCTATATTATTACTAATATTATAAAGAGAAAGATTTGTATTTTTGTATGTATTCAAAAAAAAAGTAAGTCAAAAACTACTGGACCGATTTTAAAAAATCTTTCACCGTTAAAAAGCTACGTTATCAACGAGTAACATAGGCCATATTTCTTAATAGTTTTTATTTCACGCGGACGAAGTCGCGGGCAACAGCTAGTTTGTTAATAAAATGCTAGCGAATGTTTTTATTGCCACTTTGATTACATTAGTACTGAAATTTGAATATTTATTATCGAAGATGGAAAACGAATGAAGGAATGTTAGATTTAGTTAGGAGAGGGTGTATTGAACATATCGACAAAGGTACAAGAAAGGCAGTATGCTTTGAACTTATAAATATGTAATCGCTTATTTGTGCATTTGCGGCAAAAGTATGACAGGCGTTTAAATTACAATGAGATTAAAAAATGGAACCAAACAGTTTGGACTTCCTTTATCATGATTAACAGACATAAAAATAAAAGATTTTAGTATTAGATCTTATTTCCAGGCGAGCATTAGCAATACCACCAAAGTCCGAGGGTCCGTACTCTCATGACAGATGTCGTATGTATTCCGCGGACTGGGCGGCGGCGCTCGCACAGGGCCGGACCACGCCCGACGACGAGTGGCCCACTGTGCCCTGCGCTCACGGCTGGGAATACAACAAGAGCGATGTGCCCTATGACACTATCGCATCTGAGGTAATAATGAATTTTATTACTAGCTTTCGCCCGCGACGCCGTCCGCGTGCAGCTAAAAACACAAAAGTGAGTAACCTATATCTTCTTCCAGACTCCCCTATACGTCTATGCCAAATTTCATCTAGATCCGTTCAGCCGTTTGGGATACAAACTCTAACAAACATCCATCCATCTAAACTTTCGCATTTATAATATCGAAAGAAGAAATAAGATGTATACAGTTTTTCTGAAATAAATTATTTAACTACATGTAAAAAGAAGTGTCTTTAAGCAGTTTTATGAATGACTTATCTATTTAGTTGGACTGGGTGTGTGAGAGGGACAACCTGCCTGCAACCGCACAGGCTATCTTCTTCTGCGGGGCCATTGTCGGCGGCTTGGTGTTCGGCTGGATAGCTGACAAGTACGGCCGGATACCGGCGTTAGTTGGTGAGCATATCCCCTCTTCTTCCCTCCATTTCTAGAGGTTGACCGACAGCTCTGCATGGAAGTGGGAAGATTATGATCTCAAATAACTTTCAGAATATATCTTTTAAGAATAAAATGATTTCTAAGTACCAAGCAAACAATCAATTGTAATCACAAAATGTCTAGTACTTACAACGAAGAACACTTAAATTTTACGACTTCTACCTGAAATTATAAAATTACTTTTCTAACGGTGAAAAATTTTTTAAAATCGGCCCATTAGTTTTTGAGTTATTTCAATTCTTTCAAAAATTCAAATCTTTCCTCTTATTCCAGGTACAAACTTGATAGGGTTCATGGCCGGCGTGGGCACCGCGTTCTGCTCCACATTCTGGTCCTTCGCGCTGTGCCGCTTCCTCGTCGGCCTCGCCTTCGACAACTGCTTCACTATGATGTACATCCTCGGTAAGATTCTGAACACACTCTAAGAACATACTATAGGAAGAACTTGTTTTAAAATAAGAAAGAAAACGGCAAAGTTATATCTTACTTTTTTATAGTTATTTTGTGTTGATAGTAATAGGTTAACAAAACTCTTATTCAAACTAAGATTACAAAATGCGAAAGTTTAGATGGATGCTTGTTAGAGTTTGTAGCCTAAACTGCTAAAGGGATTTCGATGAAATTTGGTATAGATGTAGAGGATAGTCTGGGACCACACATAGGTTAATCATTTTTGTTTTTTTTTTAATTTTACGCGAACGGAGTCGCGGGCGTAAGCTAACTAATGTTAATGATGTTTACGTTTTTGTTTTTTTCTGATACAAAATTAATTACTGTTCTAACTTAATAGTTTGAATCTTGAGAGTCAACTTGTTTAAAATTTTAGTTACTGAGGCAAAGTAGTCAAAATATTTTATAAAGAAATAATTGTACAGTACTAGTTAGACAAATTAATGACAGTTTTTTTGTAAATATAGTATTTATTAGTGTTATAATAGATCTAGGCTGTAGACTGACGAGGACGAGGTTAGGTCGTCAAGGCGGAAACCTTGATCGACATCGTTAGAAAGAGAAAAAAATATTCTCAAGATCTTCGTCCCCAAAAAGATAATATAATAGAAATTAAGTTTTAATACAACTGCAAAGTTCATTATTTTTAGTGCAAGTGGTACTAAACATAAGAGAAGGGTGAATTTACTGAGCTAACGATGGTCCGAAGGATGCTTCGATCGTGTCTCTATATTACGAGTAGTTCACGAGCTGTTGCCCGCAACTTCGTCCGCGTGGTATTAGAAAATATACGAACTATATAAATAACTAACTATTCCCGGGATAAAAAGTAGTAATGTGTTCTTCCAAACTATGCTCTAAACCTATGCCAAATTTCATGGAGATCCGTTCAGCCGTTTAGGCTACGAACGCTAACAAACATCCATCCATCCATCGTAACTTTCACATCATACTTCATACTAATCATACTTTCACACACACATAGGTGTTTTATTTCACTTTTGTTTTATTTCAATTTCACGCGGACGGAGTCGCGGGCGAAAGCTAGTTTTATATGATATGACATGATTTCGATCATAGTCAAGTGCTAGTATAAATAAGAAACGGGGTTTTTCTTAACATTTGTTTGATAGTTTTGGAATACGTGGGTCCGAAATGGAGGACGTTTGTGGCGAACATGTCGATCGCTCTCTTCTTCACTTTGGCGGCCTCGCTGCTGCCCTGGATCGCGCTGCTGGCCGACGACTGGCGGCTCTTCGCGGCCCTCACCAGCGCGCCCTTCATCCTCGCCCTCGCCACCCCCTGGGTGGTCCCTGAGAGTGCCAGGTGATATACTTCGACATCAACAATATTCAAAGAAATGACTCTAATACCCGGTTTCCCAGCTACATTTTTTATATTTTTAGGTGGCAACTGAGCGAGCCACTCGAGTTCGCTGAGAAAGCGAAGCGATCGCCTTTATACATCTGCAATTGCAGATACGTTACCTACCCTTAATCAACGGAGAAGACGAAAACAAAGAGGATATTTCTCCTTCCTATGTATCTCCTCCACTTTCTCTTCCCATCCGTAAAGTATACAAAAATGGTGAAAAAAAAATCTAATATTAGGCCCACACCACACTTATCAGAATGTACGCGGAATTACTTCCACTGCACGCGTGTCTTCTTTGTGGTCGTAGAATTTTGACGGGCGAGCCCTACCATGCAAAAATGTTTCAGCATTCGTTAGTGTTATTGGTTCGATAACTTTGACACTAACGAATGGTTAAGTAGCTGGGAAACCGGCCTTAGGGAGATTTAAAGATTATGTAAATAATATTAATTAGAATAATAAGCTATGTTAGTGTTTAAAGGTACCTTTCATGTGTTCTTCCAGATGGCTAGTATCCCAAGGTAAAATAGACAAGGCTCTTACCATAATGAAGAAGTTCGAACGCATCAACAAGACAAAGATACCAGACAAAGTATTAAACGAATTCACTGTAAGTATCGTCTTGATACGTTCATTTTTCTTGACTTTTCACTGTTTTTCATTATTGAGTTATTTCCAATTCACAGCCTTCGGAATCAACATTGTTTTTTGTATCGCGTTTTCCCTTTGTTATGTCTTACATAGTCACAAGTTGAAGAATTCTCACGATATCGCGTCTACGTCAGAATTACTTTTCAGGGTCTCAAACTGGTCAACAGTAACAACAGCCCTCTACAAAGTAACATTCGATCATGGCTGATCAAAAAGTCAAAAATATATGGAACTGACAATAAAATCAGAAGTCTTCTTTAATTTCCATACGTTTTGACACATTTTGTCTTTTTTTCCATCGATATCGCTAATGGAAAGTCATTTTGTCTGGGGAAAGGTCGTCATATTCCATATCAGGCACCCAGATGAGACAAAACCAACGTCTTGATGGCTTCCAGGATTCAGAGCAAATACACCTAAGGACTCTTCAGCTCTAAAATTACACAAGGAATAAAACGACCCGTATCTAAGTAGAGTTCTACACTTTTAAATCTACATAATTTTCAGGAATCATCTTTAAAAACTATAAAAGAAAGCGAAGCTGAATCCAGAAGTTACTCCGTATTAGATCTCTTTAAGACGCCTCGTCTTAGAAAGAATGCGATTCTTCTCATCATCATCTGGATGGCCATCTCCCTGGTGTTTGATGGTCATGTGAGGAATGTGGGCTCTCTAGGCTTGGACATATTCCTTACCTTCACCATCGCCTCTGCGACTGAGTTACCTGCTGATACCTTTTTGACAGCAGTACTTGATAGGTAAATAAAAGAATATTGTAATTTGTGTACAACTTCGATTTTGATTGACTGATTCTTCTTCTAACTAATCTTTAGCGCTTTTATTATAGTTTAAATTAGCAACAATCATTTGATTTGGAAAGCAACGAGAATGTCATTTCATAATTGTTAGCTATTATTATAGCCTAACTCAGGTATAAATGTCAGTTGATTATCATCATCATCTTCATCACCAGCTCATTATACGTCCCTACTGAGGGGCTCGGAGCCTAATCTGAGAGTAACTAGGCCATAGTCAACCACGCTGGCCCACTGCGGGTTGACTTCGTATATCTTTGAATTTCTTCGCTGATATGTGCATCACGATGTTCTCCTTCATCGTAAGAATGTCGGGTTAATTATGATCATATGAAATTCGGAAATTTATAATCACATTGGTACAGCTGGATTCGAACCCAAGACCTGTAGATTACAAGTCAAGTGCTTAAATCACTGAGCCACTGACGCTCTTAAAGCGAAGCTTTAGTTGATAATACTTTTAATTGTCCTTGTAGATGGGGCAGAAGATGGCTAGCCTGTGGCTCTATGGTCATCAGTGGTATTTTCAGTTTGCTAGCCACAGCTGTGCCGGTCGGTAAGTGAACGAAGTGGGACTTGAACGAATGGATACATGACTGAATGATGACCGAATGATTTGTAAATGAACGGAGTAAGACTTGAATGAATGAATACATGACCGAATTATTTGTAAGTGAACGGAGTAGGACTTGAATGAAGGGATACATGACTGAATTATTTGTAAGTGAACGGAGTAGGACTTGAATGAATAACCTGACTGAATGATGAGCGAATGATTTATTTGCAGGCGGTCCGTCAGCATCGCTGGCTATAATGGGCCGGTTCGCGGTGAACATCTCCTACAACATAGGGCTGCAGTACGCGGCGGAGCTGCTGCCCACGGTGGTGCGCGCGCAGGGCGTCGCCCTCATACATATTATGGGCTACGTCGCTTCTATTGTCGCGCCATTCGTCGTTTATCTGGTAAATAACGCGAAATTAAAAAAAAAGACTTAATTATGTGTTCTTCCAGATTATGTTCTACGTTTATGTATTCAAAGATATTCAGTTTAGGCTACAAACTCTAATAAACTAGACTTTCTAATATTATTAGTTATAAGGATTATAAACGAAAACGCTTTATTGCTATACTAACCGTTGTTCGTGACTTCGTCCGCGTGAAATTAAAATAGTAAAAAAATGTAACCAATGTTTTTCACTGACATCGTAGCTTTTTAGCAGTCAAAGAATTTTAGGAATCGACCTAGTAGTTTTTGATTTATTTGAATACACAGAAATAGAAATCTTTCCTTTTTATAATATTAGTATAGATATAATGGACTACAGAACAGCTTAGTTTCACCAGTACCTGCTAACTTCTTTCAGGAATTTTCAAGAAAATACTTAACATACAAGTGACTGGTTCCAGGCTAACATCTCCCAAGACCTGCCGCTGCTGATCCTGGGCGTGCTGGGCGTGCTGGGCGGCCTGCTCTGCCTCTTCCTGCCAGAGACCATGGACACAGAGATGCCGCAGACCCTGCAGGATGGAGAGAACTTCGGGAAAGACCAGAAGTTCTGGGATAACCCTTGCTTCTCCAGGTATGTTCATTACTTACAGCTTGTTTGAAAATCTAGTTAAAACCGTAATTTCAATTAACTTCTACAGTCGCACTCAAAATCAAATGTTGGTTACTTAAGTAAGGCCCTTAGTGAAGATTTAGCTAAATCCAAGGTTCTTTAGTCCCAATCTTACTATCTTATCTTATATTTTATGATATTATAAACTAACTTACGCCCGCGATTCCGTCCGCTTGGAATAAATAAAAAAAAAACAAAGTATCCTATGTGTTCTTCTAGATTATACTCTAAAACTATGTCAAATTACACCCAAATTCGTTCAGCCGTTTAGGCTAGAATATTCTAAAAAAACATCCATCCATCTAGACTTTCGCATTTATAATATACTAGCTTTCGCTTGCGACTCCGTCCGAATGGAATTAAAAAAAACAAAAGTGAGTATCCTATGTGTTCTTCTAGATTATACTCTAAAACTATGTCAAATTACACCCAGATTCGTTCAGCCGTTTAAGCTAAAAATTCTAAAAAAACGCCCTTCCATCTAGACTTTCGCATTTATAATATTAGTAAGATGTGAATGTTTAGATGGATGGATGTTTGTTAGAGTTTGTAGCCTGAACCGTTGACCGGTTCTTGATGAAATTCGGCATAGATGTAGAGGATAGTCTGCAAAGACATATAGGCTACTGACTTTTGTTTATTTTTTAAATACACGCAAGCGGAATCGCAGGCGTAAGTAGTAGTAAATTCAGGATTCGAACTTGAGATATCACTTAAGTAAATACTACAAACAAGTTTAAATACGTAATGACATAAATACATTTACATGTTCTCGTAAATGTTTAGTCTGTCATAAAATTTAATAGTCTGTTTCCTATACAAAGGCGATGTTTATTACGTAAAAATCCGGTATATTCTGGATTAAATTAGTTATTACAATAAATACACTTGTTTAATACAAAACAATAATAACTAAACGACAGTTAAATGTGACATTTTTAAAATAACAATACACATAAACATTTGAAACTCGTAAAGTATAACACACATTAAAAAAAAACATACAGTCGAATTGAGTACCTTCTTCTTTTAGGAAGTCGGTCAAAAAGCACATTTAATGCCATAATATGTTTGCATATTTTACTTGAGTCGATGGTGAGATTTGACCCTAAAACATGTTATTAGAAAGATTTGTATTTCTGTATTTTTGTATGTATTGAAATAACTCAAAAACTGGGCCGATTTCAAAAATTATTTCATCATTAGAAAGGTAATTTTTCTGTGAGTAACATAGGCTATGTTTTTCATTTTAATTTGACGCGGGCTAAGCCGCGAGCAACAGCTAGTAAGTTATAAAAAAAATCTTTATTGAAACACAATTTTGTACAAATCTCCTGAACTAACTTTTTTTATAATATAAAGCGAACAAGCGGCCTGAATCCACTGAAATGAAAAGCGACCGCTGCCCATAAACATCCGCAATTACAGATGCGTTGCCTACCCTTCATTGACGGAGGAGGAGACGCACATAAAGATATATCCCCTTCTTATGCGTCTCCACCGTCAAATCCACTTTTCCATCCCCTCCTTTCCTCTTAAGAAAAGGGTGGAAAGGGAAAGGGACTATCATCAGACTGTAGGCGGAATTGCTTCCACTTCACACCTGTTTTCTATATGATCGTAATATTACACCGGGCAAGCCGGCCCATTCCTGCGAAGATATTAAAGCGGACTTTACCACTGTAACCAGTACTGTTTCAGGAGACATGGCCTTTTCTTAACTGTCATTTTGCACTATTTACCGTTGAAATATGTTTATACTTTGATATGATCGGATGTTTCCCCTTAACCCTAAATTGAATAGTTTCCAGTATAACCAACAATTAATTAAAACATCTGCTCAACTAATTTAGAACATGAGATTTTTTATATTTAAGTGTGTTGGTAACATAATTACTTTGCTATATAAAACATTGAAATAGGTTTAATCTTCATGATTGGAGTTTTAATTTAACCATCTATAGTCCCTTTCCCTTCCCACTCTTTTTCTTATAAGAAATAAATAGGAAGGGGACGTGAATTTGACGGATAGGAAGGGGAAATATCCTCTTTATATGCTTCACCGTCGATAAAGGGCAAATGTCTATAGGCAGAGATCGCTTCGCCATTTCGGCGATTACAGGTGGCAGCTGTACCTTGTAAAAAAAATATATCATATAGGAAAACGGTCAACGATGAGAGTCCAGAGAGGTACATTAAACGAGCGTCAGTAGCCACCGAGGAGTCTCAGTTCGTGAGAGCGCTGCCCAGCGCCATCAGCTCGCGGGCCTCCATCAGGGCCTCCGTCAGAGCCTCCGCGAGGGGCTCCCTCAGGAAACGGGAGACCAGGAAGAAGGAGGTGGTATAACACTTATAGGTATGGATCTCGAATGTTAATGTTTTTTCACTTTAGTACAAATTTTAAATTATTGTAAGCAAGCATAATAAAATGAATTCAATTATTTTATCTCAAGCTCTCTTATAGCCGGTTTCCTAATTTAAACCATTTCTTAGTATTTATGATTTTGCCCGATTTCTTGCCTTGATTTGATTTTTTTGACTTTGCTAGGTTAAAATTATTTATTCTTATAGTAGAAGAGAAATAGATGTTTGTATAAATTTTTATATGTATATAAAATACATGTATTTAGTTATATTTTGACAGTTGTTTATGTAAAATCCTGCTTTGTGTATATTGTAAATTGACTTTACGTTATTTTAGCATTTAGTTTAATTATTATTTAAGTAACTTTCAAAATTTTATTTAAGTCACGATAAATTTAACTACAAATGCGTTATGTTCGATTTTTTTTGAATACCCACCTTTTTTTATGTTACCAATAACCAGTTACAAAATTGATGTTTTTTACATATATTCTTATTTGATGTATTTATATATATAGTTGTATATATTTTTTGTTTATTCTTGTAGTGACTTAAGTAATTTTCAAAGTTATTTATAAGTTGTGTAAGCAAAATAATCAACAGTAACTTCTGTTGCCAATTCATTATTTCGGTAAAATCCGGTCAATTGGAAAACAAATCTGTGATATAAAAAGTATAAATAAAATACTATAGTACAAAAATAGTGTTTTTTTGTTTTTTATTTTTTATGATTATGTTGATTCCCCATTTTCAAAACTTCTGTATGATCGATTTTTTAACGATCAGCTTTCTACTCTCCGTCCTCATTGAATTAAAAAAAAGTAAGCAGTCTACGGGTTCCTTCATACTATAGATACCCTCCATCTATCCATCCATTCATCTAATTAGTAGAGTTGGAAATGACTAAAATGTTTGTCAACAACTTGTTGGTCAAATAAGATAGGCAAAATCTTTAAAAACCGCATCAAACATGTTGAGTGTCGCATGTTTCGTCAGTGTGAACTCGTATTTGCATAACTTCAGTGTACAAAAATTGTTATTCAATTGTTTATTTCCTTAGGACGAATGTTTTCCAACAATTTGCGTCATCCAGCGATAACCGGATGAAACTGGATTTGCGTAGTGTTTGTTTTATTTATGAAAAATAGTAACTAAAACCTTAACATAACATAGAAAATTAATTTGTCTAACAAGTCATGATAATTTTATTATTTGTGAAAGATTTTATGATAATAAAATTATTCAAATAACATTTTATACGTTTAGAAGTATGATTTGAAATTATGCAGTAGCAAACTTAGTGTGTTTTCGTGGTAAGTTATAGCTACCGTCATTGGAAAATCCAAACGAAGATCTAAGCTAGGAGCTAGGCAAATAGTTTTAGGGCATCTATCCCCCTTGCTCCTTACAACGCCTATCGCATGCATTTACTCTAAGAAACCCAATTTTTTTTTCCTTCCAATCTATATTTCTTTTCTATACTAATATAATAAAGCGTAAACATTTGTGGCATAGGATGTCAGCAATCACAGCACATTTTTGAATAGTTCTTTCTAAAAAGCCCTACATTTACGATACGCTTTAGGCTATATAATTTCACACTAACTATTAAAGTTAGGGGTAAATAAATTGAAAAAATCTTCACGTGGGAAAGGGATCATAAAATACAAGCCAACATTAAGGAAGCAAGTTTATTATGGTCACGGTTATTTTGACATTTGCAATTGAGAATTTGACAAATGTAAACAATAAAAAAACGTACAGACGAATTGAGTACTCCTTTTGGGAAGTCGGTCAAAAAGTTTTTATAATTTCACGCGGATAAAGCCGCAAGGGAACAGCTAGTTCTTCATATATGTACTTAAGTATATGTATTTATCTTTATCCGTGATCTTTCATAATAAATATATACTTTAAACAACACTATATTAAACGACCTTCCCATTTTTAATCTGCACATCAATTCTCTTACTGCATTTTAAAAGAGTTTATTTACCGATATAATTTAAATAAACTTAAACTGAAATACAAAGGAAATAAAGGTTACTTTTGAATGCATGTTTTAAGATGCAATATGGTTAAATTCCTGCAAGTGTTGCGATGAACAATTACAGTTTAATTGAAGTGTACAAGCCGCGTCTTTGACACAGAGCTAAGAAAAGTTAGAGCAGTCATAGTATAAAAATTTCTAAATAATTCCAACAGTCATTTGTAGGTTCTAAGGCTTAAGGTGAACCAATCCTTGTTAACTACATATATAATAAAGTTGATCGAGACACCCCTATGATAGGTGTCTCTAGCCAAGGTACAAAAGTCGTTTCCAGCGTAACATGCGCCTTTAGAGAGCACTGCTATGATATTTCAATTCCGTAATTAAAAAAATACGAGTCGATATTAACATTCTATACATTACTAACTCTACATTACGAATCAATGGTCGTGTTAGTTAAAAGTAGTTTCGTAACAGTAGATACATTCATGAAATGTTAAATATATCTTTATTTCATCTCTACAAACAGTACAAAAACATATCCATCCCTTTCCTTCTTTCAGGAAAAACAGGGACAAAGATGTTTAACTTTTTCTGCAACAGCAACTGTGGAATATCTCTTGAACAATATCCCGGGTCACTATCCTCTTGACATTGATAATTTCAAAAATAAAAGTCAACGAAATCCTTGTAAGGATATGCGAATTATCTTATTCCTTTAAATGGATTGTTTTTCATTGCTACGGAATATTTTCGTATCATAAAATGTTAAATTATTCTATTTATTAGTCTAGATCCTTTAATATGTGATCCGAATGAATTGCACTAGAACTTTATTGCCCTAACATCATAATCCACTTGCCCTTATCCCTTACGGAGGCACAGTATGTACTGCTCTTCCATACATCTCTATCAGTCATATCTGAATCCACTCCTTTCTTAAGCATATCCTCTTTCACACAATCCATTCATACTTTCTTCGGTCTTCCTCTTCCTTTGTAGCCATCCACATTCATTATTAATACTTTATGGTTTATGTCCAAATCGTTTGGTCGCATAGCATGTCCACACCACGCTAACCTTTAGCTTCTCAATTTCTCCACCACTGGCGTTACTTTCAACTTCCTCTAATGTACACACTCTAACTTTATCCATTCTTGTCACACCACATATCTTAACATACGCATCTCAGACACATGCTTTGGTGCCCTAACATAAAAGTTATGTATATAGTAAACGCTAAAAACTGGACCCCTAAACCCCCCTACCCCTAAAAACCCCTAAACCCTAAACACCGCTTAAATTTTATAATGCATAGATTCAACTAACCAGTACTATTTGTAGGCAAAACCAAGTATAGTTCAACCGATTAAGTTGCCTAAGTAGTTTAGTTAGTTAGTAGTTTTTTAGTTTTGTTTAATAAGAATTGTTACTGATCTGTAAACTGTTATCTTTCAGCTGAAAATAAATTAACTTTAGTCACTAAACACACATGTACTATATAAAGTATCTGTTTGTCGTGAAACAGAACATAACAAAAGCAAATAAGTTAATTGTTAGGGCGCCATTCCGCGATCAGTAGCCGAACGAGACACAAGTCTTGTAGTTTTTTTTCTTGGTAAATCTTCCGTTATAGCGTCTTTGGTGGCAACTACTGAAACACCGGGTAAGTGATATAATTAATAAAAAAAAAACTAATTTCGTTACTTGCAAATAGCTATAAGAAAAGATGAATATAAGAAAATTCCAACCAAAAATTCGATAAAATTATTGAATTAAATAACACTTTAATAATTTCACAATAAAAAAATCCTCGCATTTGCCTGAAATACATCAAATAGTAATTCTTATATACCAGTTATTTGAAAACACCAAACGTTTTTTTTTTTTAGTTTTTTACCTCCCAAGTAAAACACTGGCTGATTTCTAATGATATGCGGCTGTAGATTTAAAGATAAATAATTCTAAAACTGCTAGTTTTCTTTCTAATTAAAAAAACACTATGTTTTCTTCCAGACTATGATCTGGATCTATGCCAAATTTCATCGAGATCCGTTAAGCTGTTTAGACTACAAACTCTAATAAACATCCATCCATCTAAACCTTCGCATTTATAACTTTGGTGAGTTAGCATACTAAATTGAAACAATATTATCATCACGTACTTAATTGTTGATAATTTGCATTTTAAATCAGTCGTGTAAACTTAACACCGTGACGAAAACAATTAAAACAAAATTAAACAGTCTGCAGTTTTACGTATATCAAATATTTTCAGATTAAACATAATTCAACCAACATTTTTTTCGTCTAATATATAATGCCTAATAGAAAAAGTGCCGTAAAACGAAACAACAAACAACTGAAAAGAAAATCCGCAAACTAACTGACAAGAACATTTTTAAAAGAATGTTCCATAAACCAATATATTACTCATTCAAAGTTATATTTACTTCAAGGTTATGACGTCACAGATCGATAATATCCACGCACACTCATCATCGTAAGTTCCCACTACTGAACCTGGACAGAAACATAATAGTTGTTTCGTTTTTTCCTTAGAGCGAGAGAGAGATGGCACTATGTTTTTAACATCTGTTAGTAACGGTTAGGCTCGTGAAACAACAATTATCTATTTCATTAATAAACAAAGAATCTTGTCTGGTTAACGTCACTCAACAGTACATTAGAATTTTTTGGTTCAGTCATGTTTAAATAAATTTTAAAATAACAGCGTAAATAAAAATTCGAAGTTTTACTGGTTTTGTAAATTACTAGGTGTTGCCCGAGACTTCGTCAACGCAATATTACGAAAAAAAAGTAGCTTATAATATGCCCATGTAAGCTACCCTTCAGTGAAAGTCCGGTCGGAAGCGGTACAGCCGTTTCGGAGATTACTCCAAACAAACGCGGCTTGCGGGCAGACAGACAAATAAATGCACTTTTCGTTATTAGCAACGCAAATTTATCATCTTCCCTAATTTGGAACTTTTCTTTTGATATTACAAACAGACACACCAATTTTATTACATGTATAGTTAGATTCATAATTATGTCAATTAATGATATCTTACTTCTTACTAATATTATAAATGCGAAAGTTTAGATGGATGGATGGATGGATGGATGGATGGATGGATGTTTGTTAGCGTTTGTAGCCTAAACAGCTGAACGGATCTCCATGAAATTTGGCACAGGTTTCGAGCATAGTCTGGAAGAACACATAGGTTACTTTTTATCCCAGGATAAGTTACGGTTCCCGTGGGATTCATTAATTTAGTTTTTTAATGTTTACTCGATCATTCTGCAACGGTTCAACATATCTTATTGAAATTTGGCACAGATGTAAAACAAAATCTGGGGTACACATGGGATAAGCTTCATCCCCGAGAAATGTCCGGTTCCCGAGGGATACGTAACTTTTTGTAATTTATATAGTTTGTATGTTTTCTAATACCACGCAGACGAAGTCGCGGGTAACAGCTCGTTTTAATATAAATGTAGAAGGATACTACAGTAAGGTCTAAGAGAAAGGTGGCTTAAATGTTAGGTGCGTACTGACCAATGCTACGGGATGTAACGTTCGCAAGGAGTTTGTTGCTCGTTAGTTACCCTGTACCAATTAGGAGCATTCTACTAATACTCGACGTGTTACATGAAAATCTTCGTGCATTTTCTGTCTATATTTTCTTTTGCTGTAAATAATACAACTGCATTCTTATCTATTATAATCTCTATATATTATCCACGCTACAACTTCACCCATACAATGAAGGCACATTAAAACTTTATAGTAAATAGTTTTAATGTAAATATTATATACTTTTATGCGATCGCACGTCGCGTCGCTTCACTTTGAAGTTATCTGAACATTATGTTTGAACATGTCTAATTGTAATAATGCTGTGTTGTTTATGTACGTACGAAATGAGAAGTTACACTTTTAACAGACGTCATCATCACCAGCTACGTCCCAACCGAGGGGCTCGGAGCCTACTCTAAGTAAGGGGTGACTAGGTCATACTCAACCACGCTGACCCACTGCGGGTTATCTTCACTAACTTTGAGTTTCTACGCCGATATGTACAGGTTGCATCACGATGTTTTCCTTCACCGTAAGAACGACGGGTAAATTATGTACATACATATGTACGAAATTTCGAGAAATCGAAAATCACATTGGTACGGCGAGATTCGAACCCAAGACCTGTAGGTTACAAGTCAAGTGTTCAAACCACTGAGCCACCGACGCACATTGGGCTGAATCAAGTTGCTCCATAGACAACTTTATCTGATGTTTGAAATGTCTCTTTTTTTTGCTTGAATGTGCTTTGTAT